TGCCACAGCCATCATAAACATCATAAAACAGATAAACCTCAACATCTGATTATGTTTGATAGCGTTATGACATTATTAAGTTCTTTTTTAGGTCAACGTTCTTATAAGAACTTCAAGCATGTGGAAAGTCCCTTTTATCTGGGACTCGTATCAACACTGAGAGTACCAATCTACTGTGCCTCCACCCAGTCTCAAATTGGGGAAATGTTATGTGTAGGTGAATGTGTCAACCACTATACCATAGAGCCATCTGTCTTTTAGCCACACAGGTCAAAAAAACTAAAGACATGCATACAAACACAACGTTTTATCAAGGCAGCAGACTCACAAACAGCCTTTTTCAGTAAATATATGAACCAATGCCTCCTCATGCAGGTTGTTTTCACAAATTTGACCAAAATTACCAAAAGTAATAACATTTTCTGTATTTTTTTTATTTGGTGTGTTGTAGTTTTCATTTTCTAATATTTTTTCCTAAATGTTTTCAATTTTGAGTTTGAGTTTTAGTTAACTAAAATAACCTCAGTCTGAACCAGACATTTCTTTGGGAGTTTGAGTTATTCCCCTGAGGTTGTCTTTCTATTAATCTGCCTGGAGGACTAAACGACTCCATGTCTTTTTGTTTTTACCACTGACATACCTATCTGCAACCTGATTATATTACTTTCTAGTGGGACAATAACAATAACACTAAACCTTGAACATTTTATTGTGGAAAATAAAACCCTTCTTAAGCACAGTCATTCCGTCTTTGTTCACCGGAGACTGAAGCCCGGCCTGTTGAATATGAACTGGGTTAAAGTTACAGACAGTAGTGAAGAGTTTTGATCAATGTCCCCAACTTATAAACTTCAGAAGTATTCTATAGTATAGTATGTTATGTTTTCTGGCTGGCTTTGTGGTGTCCTGATGACATAAAAAAATGTAAAACATCTTGATGTGGTACAATGTGATCATACTACCTCAAGATGTTATAGATCATAGATTGATTGTTTGTTTGTTTTCTTATAAAATTCTTATAAAATATAGACTTTTTTAGTAGATACACTTAGGAATAAAATCTCCCGAGGACAATCTTAAAGATAAAGTCTCTGACAAACAGTTTAATGGCCAGATGAGTTTATTTCTGCTGATTTTTCATAACGAATTAAGCAGATACCTCCAGTTGATTCTAAATATCAAGTCTCAATTTGTTGGTGGTTGATTGGAACTCTCAATATGATTTCAAAAGACATAAAGCTGCCAGTGAATGAGGCCATTTAGACTGAAAAAACAACAACAACAAAAAAAACCAAACAATAAATGATCACAGAGAAAAACATTAAAAGTGGCAAAATCAACAATCTGCAATCATAAAAAGGAATGAACTGGACAGCAGCACCAAAAGTCCTGAAAGTCGTACCAGTGCCAAAATCTCCAATCACAACATGAATCATGAATGGAAATACAGAGGAATTACAGTAGGGAGCACTGGTTACACTCAAGAACATTAGATTAGGCTTTGCCAGACATCATCTAAAGAGTCAGCACAGCTCTAAAAACAAAAAGAAACCTTTGGGCAGTTGAAACCAAAGTTTACCTGGGAAGAAGTATGAAGAAGAAAAGAAACGGCTCATGGGCATGTATGGCTGCAAGTGAAATCGGGTCACTAATGTTTATTGATGATATGACTGCCGATAGCAGCAGCAGGAAGAACTGTGAAGTGTGCAGGGCTATACTCTCTGCTTAGATGCAACCAGCTGGTGCAAAACTGATAGGACTTTGTGTTACAGTGCAAATGGATAATGATGCAAAACAAATGTACGTAACCCAAGAAGTCCTTAAAGGCAAAGAAAAGAGAAATTCTTCAATGTCAATGTCAGTCATCTGATCTCATCCCAACGGAGCATGCTCAGTTTCTGATGGCAAAAGTGAATGCAGACAGACCCACAAACAAGCAGCCCTTGAAGGTGAAGGCCACAGTGGCATAACAGAGCATTTCAAGAAAGGAAACACAGCAGTTGGTGATGTTTATGGTTTCAATCACTCCTTGTGTTGAAATTGTTACTCTGACCAGTTACTTTTGAGCTTCCAAAAATCTGGGACTGCATATAAAAATGATTGCAATCCCAAAACAGTTAATGCAAAATTTTTACTTTCAACCTCTTGAATAAAAGTTAAAAGTCTGCTTTTTAGTCACATTTCCATTCTTTGATTCAAAATGTAATTTAATATGACGTATAGAGAAATCGAAAAAGCGGATTTGTCCAGAAAGTTAATGCCCAAACTGCATACTTGAAAGATAAACATATTTTCATCCAAATCTGGTATTGTCGGAAAAAGCTGGCAGTCGGGCTTTCACAAAGTTACACATTCATGGACCGTTTCCTTCCAGTATGTGAATAATTCTAATGCATTACTTCCTGGAGTAACTTTATTGTCACAGTTTATGACGGGCCATCTTTTATATGGTGTACTTGTCATTTGAATAAACAGAAACAAAAGCCGCCTGTTCAGCTTTTAACCCCCACAACAAGCTGCTGACGTGTCATTGGTTTATTCAAATATTTACTGGTGTCTTTCTAGAGAATGGTATAAATGAACAGGAGTCCAAAGATTCCCAGTTCAATACTGGGAGGAGACACAAATCCTTTTGCAGTTATATCAGGAAGGCCTTTAGATATCTGCCAAATCACACATCTGGAGCTACCTGATGTGGCAACCCTTGAGAATAAGGAAGCAAGAAAAGCAGATCTAACCTGTCAGTACAGCCTTTTGTTGAAAAGCAGTGAAACAACAGAGGGGCTCTACAAAAATACTGATTGTAAAATGCACACAGTCACAGTCTGGAGGTTTGTTTAAATACTAAAGGGGCAATTGAATGGAAGAAGGAGGCAATAGTTTGTAAACTGTGCCCTCTAGTGGAGAATGATCATGCTGTAGCTGGAGGAATAGACCTTGAATGCTTTTTAAACACAGTCGCATAACCTTGAATTACTACTTATCTTGCTGGTAAATAAGGTTGATACTACAAATGTCACCCACATGAGTGCATGTGATAAAAAACCTACAAATAAACCAGATTCATTTACCTTTCCTAATCTTTCTCATTGTATGCGCTGATGTTAAATAGTGATTCTGGGAAGCAGAAACTGAGAAGAAGGGAGGGGAAAGTGACTTTTAAAGCCCAGGCTTGTATATGAGAAAGTTAAACACTGGTTCTGTTATAAGACTGTCAGCTAGTCTGCTTTCAACAGCCAGCATGTGATCACGTCACGGGTGACA